GCGTAAAACTCCATTTGAGGCCATCCATCGACATAGTTAGCCTTCAGCTTACTAAAAATCAACAATTTTAGAGAGTAAATACAATATAACAAAGAGTAGCCAAACCATAACTTAAAGATAGTAAGTTCTATAGAGTAGCCAATTCATAATTTAGAGATAGGAAACTAAGAGTAGCTACTATTCCAGTCTGCAATATCAAAGGAACATCTAAGATTCTCACATCAAACATTAAGGAAAAGATGGATCCAAGTCTGGATAGATAGATATACCTTGGTTTCTTAGGGTCTTTCTCAGCATCTCCAACGCTATCTTCGTCAGTCGAAACTGCCAAAACAACCAAATATACCATAAGTCTCAAAGAAGAACCAGTTTGAAAACAAATAAACAAAGAGAGGAAGAGGTTAATAAACTCCAGACAGAAATCGTACCTTGTTGAACGGGTGATTTTGGTCTGCAGAAGACAAAGTTGCTCTCGTAAAAGAAAGAGTACTGAGAAACATAACACCAGCAGACATGCGAAAATTGGCATAAAGAGGCTTCACAAACTCATATTCTGTATTCTGTTTCAACGATGAAACCCATATTCGATTGTAAGAAAGAATCACAGAGATAAAAAAAAAAAAAAGCACAAGAATTGATCATTAGACTAGTTCAATCTCACGTTTTCTTGATTGTAGTCATCAAGGGATTCGTGACACAGCCTATTGAGTAAATCCAAATTGGTTTCTGGTTCCTCAACGAATTCTTTAGCATTGAAATCAACAGAATGGTAGTTGAAAAGGCAGCGGAACTGCGTGTAGTCAATATCAAAACCCTACGTATTCACAAAAACTCAGTTTTCACATTCTTACAAAGACCCTAAGATAGAGGGAGAGGGGAGAAAAACCTCGGTAGCTAGGATTTGGCCATTCATTAGAGCAATTTCTTGCTCTGTTGTGCGCAGAGGAACGTCTTTCTCAGTTCGTGTGAGATACTTTGGTTTGAACCAGGGCTCAGGCTCATCAGGTGAATGAATCAAATACTTCTTCTTCTTCACCCATCAAATACAATAATATTAACTAACGACCGTTGTTTGGTTTAGAAGAAAAGCAATTCTCAAATTGTATATATAAACATCAACAATCAGATGTTAGAACCATATCATATAAATTTGATCACAACGTTACTTTTCCTCTGATCTCTTATAGTTCTAATAAATTGTGCTGCCAATTTTCACGAATAAATTTTTATTTTCGCAAACATATTTTTTGCAATGTAGAGACACACAAAACGTTAAAAGTAAATTGAAGCAAATTGCTTGGTGAAGTAGTTTGTAGTATACATTGACATAGGGTGGTCCAATCGGTGTGTAGACTCCATAGAGCATGTGATGAAAGTGTCAAACGAAGTTTGGGGTGGCAAAATGTATAAACAAGTCTAGTTTCATCAATACAAGCTTAAGCGTAAATGTTTTCTCTATCTACATACGTAGTGTGATCAAACAAGTAGTCAATCAAAAGACGGAACGCAAAACTGTGATTTTAAGCGTGTTCATAATGAGTCTTGTCATGGTGCAAATGCAAGTCCACGACTGCTCGAAATATCTATAATACTTGTCGTCGCTTTGGAGGCTCTAGGCCAACTTGTGCTAAACTCAGTGGATGCGAAAAATCATTCGCGGGATTGTTTACTCATTTCCTTGTTATAAGGAAGTGAAACTCAACAAAAAGAAAGCCAGGCAAATCTTGACTACATATATACTTAAGCCATGGCTTTTGCAGTTTGGTTCTTCTAATTAATTAATACATACACAAAATACTCTCATAAGTCATAACAACCTCCTCAAATCTAAGCAATGAAGCTGACATAGTCGCAGAAGAATAATACATGGAATAATGCAAAACTGTAGAATTTTTAACATTCTTGAACTGAGATTGCGCTGGAACTTAGATTGTTTGAATCTCTGGATGCGGGTGCGGGTACGGGGTGAGCGATGAATGTAGGTATATTGTCTCCTGGCATCAACACCGAGACCCCTTTTGAGTACACACCTATCTGCAAATCGATGTAACCAACCGCGGTAAAATCAGTTTTCAATCTAAGAAATTGGTATCCAGACAGTTTCACTGAGAAGGCAAGAATAAATCTTAACCTCTAACAATGTTGGACAAATTTTGAAATGTATGGTAACTACATTATTCTCAAAAACATGAAAAAGAAGGGGAAAAGCCAGTGGGCCATTTTGTGTTCCTAAGAAATGTAAAGTCAAAATGGTAGAGACCACATCTTTTTTTATCTTCACACGCATAGAATCCGCTTTTTCTCACTCATAAATCATAAGTACTTACAAACCAATCAATCTACTATACACAATTCCATTTCTCTTCTACATTTTTTTTGTTTTACTTATGGAACAAAAAAAAGTGTTCAAAGTCAATTAAAGAACTACCTGAATCACATCTCTTTCACATAAAAAAAAAAAATAATAATAAAATTGAAGCTTTTGATACCAAATCAATACAAAAACTTTCAATTAAAAAAAACTCCAATTTTATCAAAATTTCAGGAACAGTAAATAAAAGCACAAACCTTTGGAGATTGGTGACCAAGCTTAGTAGAAGCAGGGCTATTAGACCCGACCCGAGAGTCCAGACCCGGAGAAGAATCTGAGTTTGTAGATGTGGTGGTTCGAATCAGTCTCTCGAAGATGGCCATGACGAGGAACATTGAGATGAGAATGGCAGTGGCAACGAAACCAAAGGAAACAGCATTGACCGAGTCTTCGAATTGAGATCTCCGTGGCTCATCTCGACGGAGATTGGTCGGAGATCCTACCGGCGGCCATTGTTGGTTCTGGTTCAATGTGGTTTTGAAGCTCTTTAGCTCTCTCATGTCGTTTTTTCTTTTAGTGACTTTGAGTTTTTCAATAAGGATTTTGTTAATCACTCTATCTCGTTTTTGGCTTTAGCCATGGCGAATGG